TGCCACCCACTGGAAGTTGAATGTTACGATAGATGCATGACGTGTTTCATTGTAATTATTGTTATTTAAGCCTGTCATGCATGAATTATGATAATCTCAATCAGGATTTTTTATAAGTATTTTTATTCATTGTTTCATGCCTAAAGATGAATAAAAATACTTAAGAAAAAAAATCCTGATTAAGGCTGTCATAATTCATTAATTCAAAGCTGGAGTTCGAGAGCCAATTGCACAGAGGAAAACAATCGTGTGCACCTGATGGACCCAATATCATGGACGACCAAGCCCGTAAATGGGATGTACCATCAAACAGAGGAACTAGCTGACAACAAGAAATCCTAGCTGTGACTAGAAAAGGCCATCTTAAAGCAAAGCACAGAGACTCTGATCATCACTCACAACACAAGAACAGGCCCTGAGCCATGGATATGTGTTAGAGCACTAAGGATTCGCTGAAAAATCCCCACCTGAAGATGGAGCCGAAGACGGAACTGTTATGAAAAGCTGAAGAGAGCAAGTTATCTTTCAAGAAGTGGATCAGCTCTCCACAGTCAACTAGCACTGCTAGTTGTGTAGCATCCCTGAAGATAGTAAAGAGGAGGAAGCCGTTCACAGACGGAGAATATATGAAAGAATCGTTCATAAAAATATCAGAGCATCTATTCTCTGACTTTAAAAACAAGCAGGAAATTGTTCCGAAAATGAGAGAAATGCCTTTTTCTGCAAAGATCGTCAGAGACAGGACGATTAAAATGGCAGAAAACATCAGCAGTAGGCAAATTGATGACATCAATTCAGCTCAATCATTTTCAATTGCCTGTGATGAGTCAAGTGAACGATGTTGAGCAGACAGCACTGTTATGCAGATATGTCAACTGTTATGGGCAGCAGGAAGAACTGATTGAACTCATACCGCTAAAGGGCCGAACACGAGGGCAGGACATTTGTGAGGCTGTTGTGAGTTGTCTAGAAGCTAAAGGAAAAAACACCACTCACCTGGTGTCAGTGTCTACTGATGGGGCGCCCAGTGAGAGGAGCACATTAGGCTGGTGAATTTACTTCAAAAGTCACTGGATCGAGAGCTGATGGCGTTTCACTGCATCCTCCACCAAGAAGCACCGTGCGCAGAAACATTCACTCCTGAATGTGTCGAAGTGATGAACCTCGTTATCAAGATAGTGAACAAAATAATCGCGAACAGATTAAGCCACCGACAGTTTTGTTCATTGTTAGAAGAAGTCGACAACGCATATTCTGATCTCCTGCTGCACAACAAAGTCTGGTGGCTGTCCAGGAGAGAGGTGCTGAAATGCTTCGCTACATGTCTAGAGCATGTGAAAACTTGGAAAGCAAAGGCCTCCGCTATCCTGAACTGGACAACCTCGATTTTACTTCATGGTGGATATGACACTTGAACACGCTGAATAAAACTGTCCAAGTAAAGGGAAGCACGGCCCTGCAGACGCTGGAGATGTTTTGGCATTTGAGTGCAAGATGACAGTGTTCGCAAGAGATGGACAAAAAGGTACACTCTCTCACTTCCCCTCCCTAAGAGAGTTCAAAAAAGCGAACAATCAAAAAAATGATGATTATTCCCACCGCGCCATCATTGCATCAAGCAAGCCTGATCTAGAAATTGACCTGGCCAACATAGTGGATAAAGATTTGTGGGTAAATAAGTTCACAACTCTGACTGCTGGCTGAGAAAAAACCCGAAGAGGATGAGAGAACACTGACATGGACTCTGTAAATGGCCTGTATTTGTACAGCGCCTTACTATCAAATCAAATCAAGTCAAAATTTATTTATATAGCACATATTAAAACAACAGTGTTGACCATAGTGCTTCACAGTCAGTAAAA